TGTATACAGCTGAGTTCATGATCAACTCAATGACTTAAACACAAGCCCAAACCATCACCCCTCCTTTGTTGTCCATTGAAGCCAAGCTTCACTTTGGATCAGAAGCCGTGTGGAAACTTCCTGCTAACAACAATCCCAAACAAGCCACACTTGTTCTGTTCAGTCTTTTTCTAAATATAATGTTATGAACTTTAACAGTTAACATGTTAACTGAGGCCTGTAGAGCTGGAGATGTAGCTCCTGGGTTATTTGTAGTGCCTTCGAGCATTGCACAGTCTGACCTTGGGGTGAATTCTGGGAAGATTATAGCGTTATGTTATCACCTTCCTGAATGCTCCATAGAAGCAAACTGCACAACTTCTGCTTTTACAGAGGTAGTCATTCTTGCTCATCAGTTTATCAAGTGCATTTGATTATCAGCACCTGGCTTCTTCTTCCCCTTTAAATTATAGAAGCAGTTAATAAAGATTGCGGTAAAAATCTTCTTCTGTGCAACCGCCTATCAGGAAAAAAAGGCCCTGCGCCTCAGGTTTCCGCTCCTCTCATCTACAAGTGCAGCGCATGTTGTTTGCAGATAAGCGCTCGCAGTCTCACTCAACTGAAAGCATCTTTGATTGATGCTTCATAGCTCTGACTTTCAGAGGCAGCCCTATTTTCAAAGATGATCACTCTGGTGAGATTCTTTTATGGCGTGTAAGCTTTGCTGATTAATTAAAAGGTTTTCAAATGAATAAATGAACTCGGTCCTCTCGTTGGGTAATAGGACGCATTCATACACAGAAAACACATCATTCAAATAACTACTTAAACACAAAAGAAATACTTGAAACATGAATAAATTATCACTGCTCCATCATTACTGTTATAGGTTCTCCACCTGAGCCCTCATGCATTACTGAAATAGGATGCATCTATTTTAACCGGTTCTAGTATAAAAGACAAGAAAAAAGTTGATAAATGTCAAATGTATCGTTTTAATTAATAATATGAAGAAAAGTTTGAATAGTTAAACTAATAAAAGCCGACCAAAAATGTAACCTTTTCAAGCACTAAAATCTAAGCAGACATTTAAGAATGTCAAACTAAATTTTCTCAAAATGAAATAATAAAAGTTGGAGAACAGAAAACTATTAAATCTTTTTATGATAAAAT